TCAGGAGGGCCGACTGAAAGGGCCCCTCGTGGAATGCATAAATGAGCGACTTGGGCCAAGGGAAAGGGAGAGAGATCCGGACGGAAGACACGGTGTCTTGCTGCTGAGACTCGGAGAGTTATGGGAACCCCAGCCCTGCGTGGAGCCCCAAGATTCAGTGTGTCCAGGCCACCGCACCCGGTGCCTGCCCGGGCTGCCTGCTGAGGTTGGGGGAGGCAGGGACCCTTTACTCCCCCATCCTGCCATCGGTATTTGAGGGGAGCCCAGTCAGGTGCCAGAAGAGGAGGGGATCCCAGGACCCCCCCCCATCACTGCCTGCCCCCTCAATTCAAGCCCTCCCTGAGGCCCAGGTGCAGGGACAGGGACGCAAGCCCCAGGCTGCCGGCCACTGCTTGGGCACTGCCCCACATTTCCTCTTGGGGCAGTAAAACTCGCTCCCCACTCAGGGGCGGGAGGGGCTCAGATTCAAGGCTCTCGTCTGCCTCGGGAGCCCAGGACCCCGTGTCACTGGGTCAGAGTTAAGTTGCCCCATTTTACAGCGAAGGGAGTACAGGCCCCACTCAGGGGTGCCAGGAACCTGGGCCAGAAATACTATAAAGTAGGGTGCCTGGCTGGCTCAGTGGGTTGAGCGTGCGACTCTTGATCTCAGGGTCATGAGTTCAAACCCCATGTTGGGTGTGGAGCCTACTTAAAGTACTACGCCTGGGTGGCTCGGTCGGTGAAGCGTCTGATTCTTGGTTTCTGCTCAGGTCAGGATCTCGAGGTTCGTGAGATCGACCCCCGTGTCAGGCTCTGCACTGACAGTGTGGAGCCTGTTTGGTATTCTTTCTCCCTACTTCCCCCACCCCCCTCACTCTCTGCCCCTCTCCTGCCAGTGTGTGTGCATATGTGCTCTCTCTCAAAATATTAAAAAAATTTTTAAAAATGTTTTTTAAACATTCATATTTTGAGAGACAGACAGAGTATGAGCAGGGGAAAGATAGAGAGAGAGGGAGACCCAGGATCCGAAGCAGGCTCCGGGCTCCGAGCTGTCGGCCCAGAGCCCGACGCGGGGCTCGAACTCATGAACCGCGAGATCGTGGCCTGAGCCGAAGTCGGACGCTCCACCGACTGAGCCCCCCAGATTCTCCTCAAAATAAATAGTTTCTAAAAAGTGTAAAGTAATTTCCACGTGAACCAGAGCTTCATAAATGCCAGCGTTTCTGCAGCATTGCACGTGCCTGAGGGCTCCCCCTCGTTGTGTTAGGTGAGCCTCGTCGCCGGCCAATCACAGGAAATTAAAGCAGGAGAGGGACGGGAGCGGGCCGTGATCAAGCGCCTTCTAAGCACGCAGTCAGCCCCCCGTGCAGCAGGTGCACTGCGATCCTGCAGGGAAAGGGTCTCCCTCCCCAACTGACGGAGGAGGAAGCTGAGGGTCGGGTGGACCTCCGACCGAGCAGGACGCGAGTGCCAGGCCAGAGCCCCGCTCTCCCTGCCTGACTGCGGAGCCTGGACGCTCCCGTTCCCCCACTGTAGTTCCCTGCTCTAGTCTGGGGCTCTCGCGTGGGTTTTAGGTCCCCCCCCCCCCCCC